CTGGAAAACACACAAGAGGGAAATGGCCGGTCCGACCTTCCATTTCCACAGGCCGCGGGCGGGGGCCAGGGTGAGGAGCGCAGATGATGGGGAAGGATGGGAGGGACCATGTCCCGCTCGTTTCAGATGTTCAGACACACAGACAGCAGGGTCCCATGGACAGTGACAGACAGTGGACGACAATGGGATACAATTGTCAACAGCCTATAATGCAGGTTAAACAATTTAGCTAGGAAACCAAGGTGGGCGGGGGCGGGGGGGAAGCACCCCTTTAGTCGCTATCTGATGGGGTGAAAACACAGCCAATTAGATGTGTCCATATAATTTTCACATCAAACATCCTGTGCCCCCCAGGCGACCGATGGCAGTGCTTGCTGTAGATTTTCCCAAGCTTTCAAGAGCAGTGACAGCCCTCTTCAGCAACGCCATTTAACATCACAGAAGGTCAAGGTGGGAGCCACAAACACTTGCTTTTCTTAATTTACACCTTTCATTGACTTGCCCAGAAGCGTCAAGGAGCAGCCACGAAATCTATGATGTACTGTCAACAGTTCCTTTTAAGAACCAGATTTACAAAGCAAAATGCAAAATCCTACACGGTGATCTGGAGCTGTACCTTTAAGAAAAAAGAGACAAAAAAGCAAAACCAAAACTTTGGTGTTCTGAAAGAAACAAGATGAGGTTTGGGTTAGGTCTCTCCTGTGTTTTTTTTTTGGGGGGGGGGAGCATTTGTTTAATTAGTCGGTTAAAAAAAAAAGACCACTAGGTAAGTGGAAAATTAGAATTTTGAGAGATGCAAGCAAAATGACTTCACTCTCTCTCGTGCTGGTCAGGTTGGATCTAAACCCACTGCCAGATCCTAGTAAACAAAACACAACTCAGGGGCGGGCAGCCGTCCTTCGCCCCACCAGCTTTCCCATCCCCCTGCCTACATAGTTCTAATTAATCCTTTCCTTTTTTTTCCTTTTAAAAATACTACATATGGCATAGTATATAGTACATTAACATTTTTTAAGCACATAAAGTAATTGGCAATGTTAAAAAAAAAAGCTTAAAAGACACCCTTGTGATGTGGGATGTCTCTGAAATCCAGTCTTACATGCTGTAGTTAATATTCTTCTTCGTTCAGTAAACACTTGAAGCAAGGGTTCTCACCCTGGCACGTGCTGATGATTGATGCCTGGTGGTAGGAGTTTGCCCTGGCAGCAGCCATGGCCTCTTCCCCCATAAGTGACATGGCAGCCCCTGCCAACTTGGGCAGCCAAATCAGACCCAGCTCTCTCTCTGGGAGACAGAATTTCCCCAGTTGGAAACCACTGAGTTCATTGTTGCCTGGGGCATGTATTGGATGGATCAGGCCCTCGCCCAGCAAAGTACCTGGATTACAGTAGCAGCAGCAGCAACACAGCTACCAAGTCCAGAATCCAGGTGCTCCACAGAGACCGTGGGCAGATCCAGCCATGGCAGGGCACAGTGCAAACACACCCCCTGCACCAGAGTGACTTGCTGGCAGCCTTCAGCAAGCTGCCTTAGTGCCCCAAGCCACAACCCTGCAGGGATCCCCAGTGCCTTCGGGGACAGGCTCAGTACTAGCATAGGATGTGGAGGGGTAGAGGAAGAGTGCCAGATGTGTTAGGTCTCTAAAATCGCACGCCTTTTGGCAATCAGCTAATCCATAACAGAGAGCCAACAGCCGCATAAGAAAACTCACCTACCCCCTTTCTCCGGGTAGGGAGACTGGCGACAGCAAGTTGGCAGAACAACGATGTTTTTATCGCTGATCTCCCCAAAGAAAGTAATCCAAAGTACAAAATATTAAATTGGGCCCAAGTCTCACTCATAAATCCAGAATGTTTTGCCCGAATCCAAGAAGGCAAAAGACCCAAGATAATGGTCATTCCCACAGAAGTGAGGTGCTTTCCACTACACTCTCACTGGCCTTCCCTAAACCACCAAGTGCTAGCAGCCTCTCACACAGCAGTCAGGGCCAGCGTGCAGGTGACTGGCAAAATACACAGACAGGAGGGCCCCAGGCCCCACAGAGGACCACGGCCCTTCTGCACCAGACAGGGAAACGCTCCAGTGTGTCATAGGCATTGGGGTGTGGCTTGTTTTCTGGACGCGGTGCCGGCTTCTCGCGCTGGGAGCCGTCCAGGCCCCAAGGCAGCGGGGCCCGGCAGTCTGGCAGGGTGACTCACAGGGAAGTCCTGCAGGTTGGGAGAACAGGAGCAGGAAGCACTTCTCCAGGGAAGAGTCGAGAAAACCTTTACAACTCTTTCCTGATCATGAATGTCCAGGCTTCCAGAGCTGACGACGCCCAGATGACAAGCCAGCATATCTGTCCCCGAGGATCAGGGTGCAGAAGCTCACCTGCAACCTACTAGGATGCTCACTCAAAAGAACCAAACCAAATTGAACTAAACGCCACATGGCCCATGCCACACCCCAGGACCTAAGGGCTCAGCCCTGTGCAAACCTGGCTACCAACACCCTGGGGGTGGATCACTGCCACCTCTGTGTCCTCGGGCATTGGAGCTGTTGAAACGCCAGGGCTGGGTTTGTGCCTTAGCACGTTAACCTCTAGATTTATTAAGAACCTGGGTATCTGTGGCCATCCCATTCCTCCCTACAAATCAGCAAAGGTCTTAGAGCAGTGTGAGACACGTGGGGAAGCTCACAGCTTCTTTCTTCTCTTGCATGCAGGAAAAATACACTGCTAGAGGCAGAGGCCAGAACCAAGGCAGACAGCACCCTCACCATGGCACCTGCTCTCACCCCAATAAAAACTTGTCCTAACTCATCGCCAGCTTCATGAGCATGACCAAGATTTGTGTTGTTTCCATTTGGTTAAGTCTTTAGAAGCTAGCACATTATCAGACCAGCGCTTCCCCAAAGTTATTAATACCGATGGATAGGGAAAAGGGAGATAGTGTTGTGACATAGCACATAAAGCCACCGCCTGTGATGCCAGCCTCACCTTAGGGGTGTTGATTTGTGCCCTGGCCCTGTGAATGATCTGGGCAAAGTAGCAGAAGATGATCCATGTGTTTGGGTTCCTGTGCCCGGTGAAGTTTCTAATTCCTGACTTCAGCGTGATTCAACCCTGGTTGTGGAGGCCACTTGGGGAATGAATCAACAATTGGAAGAGCTGTCATTCTCTGTAACTCTAACTTTCAAATAAATAAATAAATCTTTTACAAACAAACAAAAAGGAGCAATGGGAAGAGCTTTCTCCATGCGAAGCACTGCTGGCAGTACTGGTGGGACATGTCATTCCACTCACCTCCAGTTCTGAGCCCTGAGCCCTCCCTGACCCAAAGGAATCCAGCCTGTCGCAACGGCAGCAAAGTCCTTCCACATGTGCACAATGGTGTTTGCACCATCCCCATGCTCAGGGTTCCCAAAGCGCCAGGCCAGCCAACAGGCCGACGTGCCCGTGGCAGGCAGCTCACACTGCAGCTCGGCCTGTTTCAGTTCAAGCACCAGCTAGGTTTGGTCCCCTGCCCAGTTCCAACACTGTGCTAACATTCCTGACAGCTGCTGCCCAGGACAGAAAAGAAATTCCTTCCTTCACAGCATGAATAAGGGGAGAACAGTGGAGGGAGGAGGGTATGGAGGTGAGAAACAAGCCAACCCAATACCACACAGGACACCTCTCCACACAGCCTCTCAGGGCAGGAGTTTCTACGGAGGTGAGGACAGAGTTCTTATCCCCTCAGAGCTTGGAGGTGCCAGGGACTACAGGGGAAGAGCCCCCATCAACCTGGAGGTGGTATAGCTAACAGCATAGAGAACCTAGGAAACAGAGAGCACGGAGTCCCAAGAGGCCAAGGCCAAAAGGATAGCTGGTCATGTCGCCAGCAGTCTCTTGTTTTGTTAAGTAGTCATACACAGTATACAGCTTCACTGACCCAGGCTGTCCTTAATAGGCAAATCTGTAGAAACAGATGACACATTTTTAGGCAGCTAGAACTGGGGTTGTTGGAAGAAGCAGAGACTGACAGCTTGTGGACATGGAGGCTCAGTGGGTTGTACAATTCCCTGGTTATACTACAACCCCGAGCTGTGCACTCTAAATGGATGAGCGGGATGGGAGATGCATGACAATTCAATCAAGCATTGAGTCAAGAAAGAAGCAGGCTCTGTGCTGTAGCCACAGCATGCACAGCTTTAACCTGCCCTCGCTGAGAATTCCCCTTACATAGTATTTCTTGGATGCCAAGTAGTAGGCACCTGGAAGGTGCTTTTCAATGAAATCTTGAGGCTTAGATGGCACGTGTGGGACAGTAGCATCTACTCCCCAGAGTCACGGGGACTAAACATAAAGACAGAAGGAAAGAGCTTAGTACAGAATGGCACTCACCATGTACCCATTGGACAAGCTCAGCTTTAACCCCAACCACAAAAGATGCTTCTGCAGGGACCCATGATTTTACAAATGCAGCATGCAGCCCATACTGCAGGCTTCTATTGCACCAGAAGGCCTGAGTCACAGACGGGCCACTGCGAAGAGCCAGGGAAGAACCCCAAGGACATGTTAATGGGAAGGTGGCGTCCATGACCAGCTCATAGCTTCAGCACACACAAGGGAAAGGAGGACACGGGATCTGGCAGACAGCTGACAAAATGCTAGGAGCTTCATAGTGCTTACTTACAGTTAGACCAACCATACCTGAATTAGTTTCAAGCTAGTCTCAGTTATCCCCTCAGTGTTTTGGCACGTGATTCACCAGGAGCCTGCCTTTCATGACCTCCACTCCTCTTCGCCTCACTGATTGGCTCAGAAATGGCACCTGAAGCAAGGCCAATCAATGAGCACCCTGCCCTGGAAGGTTTTTCTGAGTTAATGGTTGGGATCCACCAATCTCCAGCTGAGGTTAAGAGCTCCTGACCCAACCCATTCTCCAGACCTTTCTACCTAACAGTTGCTGGAAAAGAAAAGATAGGGAACACAAGCCTCTCATGGCAGGTCAGGCATCCCCAAGGTAAAGTCCACCTCCGCCATTTGCAGAACATGAGACTCAAGAATACCCTGTTCTAATGGACTTTGTTCAGGGTGGGTTCCTGATAACCATCATCACCAACTACTAGCTGTATATCCAGTCTCTCAATGGGGGGGAGGGGCACAGGGAAAAGAATCTGTCAACATTTTCTTTAAAAACAAGAAAAAGTACATTTATTTGAAAGCCAAAGTTAGAGAAAGAGGGAAAGAAAGACCTTCCATCCACTGGTTCACTATCCAAATGGCAACAACCATCAGGGGTAAGCCAGCAGCCAGGGCTTCCTCTGGGTCTCCCATGCGGGTAGAGAAGCCCAAGCACTAGGGCCATCTTCCACTGCTTCCCAGGTGCACTAGTGAGGAGCTGGTTCAGAAATGCAGTAATCACAATTTCAACCAGCATCCATGAGATGACGGTGTTGCAGGGGGTAGTTTAACCCTTTTTGCCACAATGTCTGTGAGGTTTTTAAAGAGAATGCAGGGATTCAGAGAACAAGTGAAGAAATGCGATGGTTCTCAAAGACTACTAGGGTCTCTCTTCTTAATCTGTTTACCATTTTGTAGTCATAGCCCCAAAAACATATCTTGTCCCTTTCTAAAAAGACGATCATATGCAACTCCCCCGCCGTTGATGCCACAGTTATCGTCTTCTTCAAATTTCTGACACATGAGGCAAAATGGGCCAAGACTCACTCAAGGTCACACAACCAGTTTCTAGCCAGAATAAGACAAGGACTCCAGGGCTCCCTGGGCCTGAGCCCAGGACTCATTCCTCCTGCCCTGGAATTTAAAGTTCCTATGAAATCCAAACATAATTATATAGCAAGCCTAACGCTGTTTCTCACGAAATCTAACAGAAAAATATACTGTCTCTCAGAAGCCTCACAAGCGAGCCTTGGCCAAAGACAAAAACTAGGGCTGACCATCTAAGACAGGAGGAGAAGGACAAAGAGGTTTGTAGATAATAAACCCACTTCCATCCCAAACTGCCAGTGGTGCTGTTCTTTTCTTTGCATGAAAACCTTGAGGTCTGGAACTGCAGACCTCTGGAGGACATCCTCCAAGCTCTTTTCTGGAGGGTTCAGTTGAAGGGCCTCAAAGGACAGACCACTGTCCAATTGGAATATGTTAGCTGGTTTATACAAAACTGCTCAGAGCAGAAATGCATATTCTTTGAACTAGACTTCAACTCTATATTCAAATGCATCAACTTACACTAAGATTAACACACAGCATCCCATTCTTCCCAATAACAAGAACAGTGTTACATTCTCTGTTCCTATCCAGGAAGCAGCCTAGGTCTTCGCAAAGGGAAGACGGTTATGCAGGTGTATTTCCAATGGTGTACCTTGGGAGAGGTAAACCTTTAGAACAACCCGGTCTTGTTGTGGTCTCTCAACATGAGCACTTCTTTTAACCGTCAAAGAGAATGTGAAAGCCTGCAATTCATGCAAATTCTGCATCAACAGAATCTCGCCCAGTTGGTCCCCAAGATCTTCTAGGTACTGATGTCTGACCAGATCATACCCAGTGGCCTGTGGGCTGCACTTCAGTCAGCATGGCAAGACAATCCAGTCTGTGGAGATCCTATCCAGTGTGTGGCCAACAGCAGGTCTGACACACAGCGCTTCCCACAGCCTGGATTATGGTCAAATTTCATGTAATAATGTTTCTGTTCTCCCTGAAAATGTGTTATTAGAAGGTAAGCGTATCTTACAACTGATGATGTATTGGAATTTAGAAAATGTGGTGCTGCAAAAATACATTCTCATGGCCCTTGAGTCATATGTGTATCTATGTAGCTACCTCTTACCTTCATGCCCTGACATGAAACAAATAGTAACTGTCTTAGCCTGGTATTGATGCAGAAGACCATTTGCAATGCACCCCAAGGACTGCGAGTAACCTCCTAGACAGTGGGTGAATCAAGCTAGGAAGAACAACCCTGTATCCAGGTGGCCCACCTGACCCTCACAGAAACTGCTGCTTAACTACAGCCTGTAGGAGAAGACAGGAAACTGGGAGATCAATAGCTTCAGGGGCTGACCCAGCAAGGAGGTAGCTAGCTCAGAGTGAAAACCAAACCCTGTGGGAGCCACAGGGCTCTATCCTGTACACATGTACAATAGGGCTCTACCTTACATCATTAGCACAAAATCCCAAAGCTGCAAGTGAGGAAGCCAGACAGGGCGAGCCAGGAAGCAGATCAACTATTTCCACTCCAGGAGACAAATCTGGAACTCTCCCTAACATCTCCTCACCTCGTGCATGAGTACATGGGACAAGGTCTCCAGCTTACAGAAGAGACTTTTTCATCTCTGCCCTTGACCCTGGCCCATACTGACAGGATATCACATCTCATACTGCTAACTAAACAGGCCTTCCATGTCCTCACGTGATCACTGACTCCTGAACGCCACACAGGCCACACTAGATTCTAGAAGAAACAGCTGGTCCCAGAGTAGTTACAGTACCTGAAGACCAGAGCACTCTGCTGGGTCCAGCTTCCCAGCTTGCAATTCCCTAAGTCAGGGAGCCAGGTGAGACTTGACTTTGCCTTGGGCAAAATGGGAGGATTCCACCAGCATTTCCACAGTGCCTTTGGGTCACACCAAAGTGGAAATTTAATTTCATCAATGGTCAACGGAGGTAACAGTGGCAGTGGACAACTGTGACTGCCTGGCTTACTCCTCCACGAGAAGTCTGAACTAGAGAACTAGACACTTATTCTTAAGCCGGCGGGGGAGGCGGGAATCTCTGGGCCCATCTCAAGACAAGAAATCTCACATGAAGGAATGACAAAATATTTTCCCAGGCCCTCAGCTGCTTCATTAATACTCGCCTTATTTGGGGAAAAAGAAAATCAGCTGAAGCATCCGTGGTACTTTTATGTGCCATGAACTGGCAGTGTTTTGGAACAAAAAACAATTTTTGCACAGGGTACTTATGGCATCATTATCGCATTTTCCAAGCCCAGCTGCAGTGCATGCCAAGGAAAGCCGGGAGGCGCGGGAGCAGCAGGACTTTGGGCCATGGCAGGGCCCAAACAAGGGAGCTTTAGAAGAAACCTTGCTGCGAGTGCGCATTTACAGCAACCTGACCCACACGCACGTGCCTTATAAAAGTGTTACAGGTAGGCATACTTATGTCATCTATTTAATGTTCTTTAACATCCGTGCTTACTTGGGTTTCATACAATTTATTAAGTCTTCAGTCTCTGGCCTGCAGAAAACAGAAAAATAGAAGCAGATGTGTGCCTCCTGCCCCCTTTCAAATGTTCACCAGTCTTCCTGCTTGGAAATGCCTCTGCGGTCACTCTTCAGGGCCTACCCTTGCCTGGCCCTCCTGCCCTTCCTCCCTGCCACCCACCCCAAGGAGGCTGGCTCCTCACAGGCTCTGGGGTCCTTGCAGCTGCCTAGAACCCAGGAACAGGCAGCTCTGGCAAGGAAAGGCTGCTGCTTGTTTAGAAGGCTCCAGCTGGCAGTCAGCTACATAGGCCCCCTGGCAAGACCTTCTCAAAGAGGCCCAAGAGGCTCCCCCCTGGCTCCTGGGAGTGCCCCAGTCCTTTCGACCACAGGAGCCCCCAGCCTTTGAGCAACCCCCGAAACCTGTCCAGTGACATATCACCCATCCACCCTACAGAGCACCCACTCACCTGCGCACCCACACCCTCACACCCATCCTCCCGACTCCATCTTTCCTGTGCTTGGTCCTGCAGTCTAATATTTACCAAATCTCTTGGCACCTTTCCCTTTTTCTAAATAAACTCTTTCACTGCTCTTTTCTTGGCTCCTTTTCCTATTTCTTTTTCAACCCCCCAGTGTCCCTTGGGTGAGCCTCAGAAGGGGTCTCGCCAGACAAGTCAGGAGGGGAGGGGGAACAGGATGCCGGAGGATTAGACAGCCCACGTCACCCCTGCCAAGTCTCCTCTAGCTGCCGAACCCCATGCCCCCTTCGGTCCACAGCTCCTAGCTCACGGCTCCCTGTTCCCCCTCGCCTCTCCTTTCCCCACCCCTGGCAGCCACAGCAATCCATCCACCCACCATTGCAACAGCACAATGTCACTGCTCTGTTGTTTTGAGAAACTAAGAGGAAGCAAGGAGCCTGCTTTTTTTGGCCCAATAGAGAAGCAGCCAAACAGTAGGGTTCGGGGCTCCAAAGCCAACGGTGGCCAAGGGGGAGGTTTAGGGCAAACACAGGCATGTGCCTCTCCCGGAGCGTGCTGCTGGAGGCCGCACTGACGCTCCCAGATGCTGTCACCCCAAGTGCAAGGGACACGTGGCTCTGTGGCTCCAAAGCCTCTAGATGCGTCCTGAAGGCTGGCTTGGGAAGGCCACCCCCAGAGAGATGGCAGGAACTGTGTAACCTCACAGCAAAAACCCTGACCTATTTGTGAGCACTGTAGAACAAAGAGGGGGAGACAGAACAGGGATGAAAGTGCACAGGCCGAGAGTTCATTCGGTGCTCTTCTCTCGCGGAAAGTGAGAACTCCGCACAGATTCTCTAACAAACTGCACTTGCAATAGAGGGGGGACCCTGCAAACAGAGGTTTTGCTCTGCCTTTATGGCTGTTCCTTTCTCAGGACAGAAGTATCACACTCAAATTATTATTCAGTGTTTTCGTAGTAAAGAGCTCAAATGAACACCCTCACCCCTTCACTTAATAAGACCCCAAAAAGTCCCTCGGGCTGGACACCCCAGGGGAACAGTAACAGACCACAGACCCCTGACCTCAAGGTCTTGGTTCAACTCCTTCCGCAGCTTAGACAACTCGGTGCCTATTAAAACACCTAATGAGCCCTTAATTGGGTTGAATTTTACCTAGATGGTAAAAACCAAACACTCCGGCTGGAAAGGCTAAACTTTCTCTTGGCCCATCTGTTCCTCCCAGCACTTGCCACCTCAGCCCTCCCTACCCCTGGCAGGAAGGGAGAGGAGAGGAATGGGAAAGGGAGAGAAAGGGAGGAGAAAGAATAAAGGAAGGGAAAAAAAGTGCTATGCATGGCCCAAAGAGAACCACCCAAGAATGAAATGTGACCAGAGACA